AGAAGCACCGCTCTTTCCTTTATATGCTTTCAAAAATCCAATTAACAAGCTAAAATCTTCGTCTTGCACTTTGGTGCCATTGCTCTGTTCCTCCTTTAATGGAATGCATGGATATATAGCCTATTTGAGAGCGATTTTTTCTCCCAAAAAATTGATTTTTTGACTGTTATTTCACTATTCCATCCGTCATATTTGACTTCTTCTCTCACAGGTTGATCCCACTTTTCTCCTAACGGTCAAAAAATCAATTATCAAAATCACTCCCAAACAGGCTCATAAATTGATCAAAAGCCTCCCAAGCTTTAGCCAGCTTCTCTTCTGTAGCAATTCCCAGCCATTTTTCGAGCTTCCACAAGCTTTCTGGCATCATATGTCTATGCAACAGGGCTATTGCTGCATCATCAAAGGCTATTTTACATGGAATATAGGGTAAATCAATGTACAAACTGCATGGATCATAATCCTTATTAATTGGAATTAACACCTGAATTTTGATGTAATTTGACAAGTTTGTTAGATTTGAAATGTAATTCTTATATGTAGGAGTTATGTATTGTTTCCCTTTTCTAAATATATCATTAAAAAAAATTCCATTGTTGGCCATCATGGACATAAGAATTATCCATTACAAGAATCCTAATACCAAATTTTAAAACCCCAATAAATGAATACTCTGTAGCCCAAATGGGAAATGAAAAAATAATTATGATAAAATCAGGTTGTCCATAAAAGAAGAGAAATTTCTGAAAACACACAGTAGAAGTGAAAAAATTAATAATGCATGTGGATCAAAATCAAATCATCCATTCACGTGTTTTCCTTAGTACTAAGGGCACCCTTTTATCGGATCCTTGAATTGTTTCTATCATAACAGTATAGCAAAAATACCTTGGCTCTTCCAACTTATTGACTTAAAAAAATAATTACTTAATATAATGTGTGATGAAGATATGCAGTTGCCTTAGTAACATGTGCCTTGTGCATTAGTTAAGGGCAAATAATGCATGTGGATTTGGAAGTATATTTATATTTTGCCCTGAATCAAGAAAACTGGGGAGATGAATAAGTTTGAAAGGAATCAATGCCAAGTGGGAGCCAGAAAATCAAGAAACATGAATATAAATGTCAATTTTAATTATGGGATTTTTATATTTTCATGAAAGCTGGAGTTATGAAAGATTCAAAACCAAGATCTATTGCACAAAGCAAGAAACGAAAGTGGTTTCCATTCTTGAATTCACTATACAAGCATCTATTTTTCATGACGGCTAAAAATAAATTACAAAAAATGAGATCAACAAAATGTTTCAATGACGATTATTTGAAAGTTATTTTACTATTATTCATAGTGTTAACATAGCTGGTCCTGGGCCAAGGCAATTGAGGCCTAGGTCTCAGGCCCAAAATCAAAAGGGGCCTAATTTTGGCACTTTTTTTTGGAAAAATAACGCAAAATCATACTTATAAACTTTACATTTCAAAACTAGGGTGATTAAGTTTAATTTTTTAAAATCAGGTGTTAACTATTTATTTTAAAATTAATAATAATTATAAACTAATTGTTCATTTACGTGATGAAATCTGAACCCTCTATATCTGAATTACACAGTTTTCATAATACTTCTGCACGTAATCACTGATCATCCAAACCACGTCCTTCGCGTTTTACCATAAACCCTCTCTCTCTCTCTCTCTCTCTCTCTCTCCCTACAGTGCAGTGCAGTGCAAAAAGAAACCACGTTCTTCTCTTTCTTCTTCTCTCTACCAGAAATACAGCAACGACGTTGCTCTCTCTCTCTCTTCTCTTCTCTCTCTCTAATACAGTAAAGTAACCTTCCACTCCGTTTCTCCATTACTACGAACCGCACAATAGTTTATTAAATTTTAGTTTCAACAATAGTTGTGTTTGGAATGGCAAAAACTCGAAGTGTTGGTGCGAAAATGATGGAGAAGGATAAAGGAAAGAGGAAATATGTTGAAAGAGATTCTTCTTCAGCAAAGAGAGTTAAAATGTCATCCTCTGGCGGGAAACCCATGAAGAAGGTGAACTCCGATTTTGTGACCTATTATTTGAGTAGTTTGTGACCTGATTTGGGTATTCTGCGTAGGAAATATAATTTTGTGATCTGTTTTAGGTATTTTGTAATTTGAA